CCATTCTTGTCAATTTCTAGTACTCGACCCACGCGAATTTTAGCACAACTAATACCACCATCTACTTTACCATGCCTTGCTTTTCTTTCAGTATGTTTAATCGAACGAGCAAAATAAATCCCAAAACCAAACATTTATGGCGACGTATGACTAAATAGCATATCATCATGAGCACTTTTACTGTCACATCAGCGCTTGTTCGATGACAACTGACATAGACATCAGTTTTATTTTTAATTTCTGACCAACGGTCTTGAGATTAAAAATCGGTACGATGGTAGATCAAAATATGTTCACGATCACGATTGCTGCATTTTACACGTTAAAAAGGCTTGTTGCGCAACATCATTTCGTTGCGATTATTACCGAGTAAATGATATGGTAGATAACGCTTATCTTTCGGTGAATAACTTTGTCGATCACTATCAATTCCAGGACAATAATGTCACCAGACACGAGGGTGGTAAGCATTAAGCGCTAGCATTACAATAAAAAAGGCCTGTGACACAGAACACAAAATTATCAATAATTGAAAGTTTGCTTTTGCGTAGAGAATCGCCGCTACACAGTTCGAAAGACAATGCACAACATGAGTAAACTACCCTGAAAATAAATCTTGATTTAGATCGTCGACGATAACATGGATAGTTGCAACGCATTATTTACATTCTTCTAATCAGTTGAACACCTATCATAAAAAAAATCAGCGGTTTATTGTCTTTTTATACCATAGTTTAGACAGCAATTTGCTCAAATGAGCAACGCCATTAAAACAAAGACCGATGCAGAAATGTTTGAGCCAATACCATCGAGGATAAAGCCTTGTAACGCCAAGGTAAAGTTATTACTAGTATTGGAATTAATTATGGCCGATGAATTGAAATGATTGTGGATATGAACTCCAAAACAAACCAAATCAAGAGCTGAGATTGTAACCAAAAGTTTAAGCTGAAAGACATACATACGCTGACACCTCTTTACAAGAGAATAGGAAGAGACTGTAAAAACATATTTTTCTGTTTACAAAAACCAATTTACGTCGAAGACATCAGACATGCTTTTGTTTACTTTATATGTGCTTATGATTTTTTTCCTTTTTGCTAGAAAGAAAAAACCTATTTCTCTAACACAGCCATCACTTAGTTGACAAAACTGTCTAAAATGCACATAGAAACATCATTTGAACGAGTTTATAAAAGAATATGTTTTTTTTCTCCCAACTAACACTACTCAAAGCATCGTTCGAACGACATTTTTTTATAATACGCTTTTTCTTTTAACCCTTTACCCCCCAATGGGTCATATATGACCCATTTGTAGACATGATCGCAGAAAATAAAGAAAGCATGAGACTGAAAAACTCCCAAGACATTATTTGTAGGGAACTTCACAAGCTANAAACGTTATATCTCGGAAATGCTTAATCCGAAAATTCTGAAACTTTGTAGATGAGCTAATCTAGTTGAGGTCTTGATATGGGCAAAGTTTCACGTCAAAACTTGAAACTTTGATTTAATGGGAAAAATGGGGTCCCATAGAAAAACTATAGTAAAAAGCCGATATCTCAGCCAAATCTCAACTTGGGCACATATCCTCTTAGACTTTTTCTAGTCTATGCATTCCCTACTTGTGGACAAAATTTCAGCTCAAAAGCTTGTTAGCATCTCGGGTAGTTCCCTCGTGAGTTGTTGAGATGAAAACCTTTCATTGTATACTGCAGCGTCCAAATAGTCGCTGTTATTCTTGCATCATTGTTTCAGCATGCTTATCGAATGAAGAAAGTTTTTTGAGCTTCGTCTTTTGTAATAAACAGAAATAATAATTATTTCTCTATAAAGAAATAAAGTCAAAACGGGTCAAGTTTCCTTTCTTGAATATAGAAGAGTTTCCTAGGATTGTATAAATCGGCAGGTCATAACCGGTGGCTTCCTTTGATATGAGTAAACATAGAAAGTTTCTCAATGAACTAGTTTTAGTCTATATCTGGAAAATAAAGTAAAATCATTCGTTCCTGTTAGACAGTTATGGAAGTTAATAGTTTGTAGTATTTATCGTAGAAATTTTCACTTTTCTATCTTCTGATGAAATACTCAATACGATTATTTTACATAATATTTCACTCTCTATCTTCTAATAAAATATTTCGAAGAAACGATTGAAGTTGCTTAGAAATAAATTGAAAATTAGAATATTACCACTTTATCTGAACCACCAGATATATTCAAACTGTTCTATTGTTCTTAAAAACATTTTTCATAAAGGCCGACAAATCGCATACTCAAGTGGAAATTGCACTTCAGCAAATTACCCTTTGATCACAGGAAAATTCGAGAAACCATTAGACAATCGTTCAATGACTGGGCTAAACATGGTGGATTAACATTTTATGAAGCAAATGAGTACGAAACAGCTGATTTTAATGTGGCTTTCGTAAATGGTGATCATGGAGATGGAGTTCCAATAAATGAGCCGACTACAGTTCTCGCGCACTCTTTCTATCCCTGGAATTCAATCTTCCGTGGAAATATTCACTTTAATTCAGTTAAAAACTGGTCAAATACGTAAGGAGACTCTTGAATTGTTCTGATTAGTCTATTATTTGAATATAAAGATATGATGGTTTGGGTTACAACGTACGTTTGACCGCTACGCACGAGATTGGACATAGTCTTGGGCTTTCACATTCAGACGACTCTGATTCAATTATGTATCCAACATATCAAGTGATTGAACCCGACAAAGTATTGCCTGAGCAGGTTGGTTTAAATTATACTTCTAACCTTATTTTCTATCTCACAAATTTTGAATTCTTGTCAAAAGTAAGTATAAGGATATGAGAAAGCTTAAGGATGTTGATATGGATTTGTCATTTAGCGTGTCTAAAAGAAGACTCACACGACATATTCAAAGCCTATTTATTTATGTGCACGCTTCAAGAGAATGAAGTGAATGACTAGAACAAAGATGTCGTGAGAACACATGACAGAAAGAATCTAGATGATGAAGAACGATAGATATAGTAAAAGCAACTAAAGATGAGAAAGAAAAAAGAAGTGATATGAATATTGATTAGTCTTGAAGTATATCACAAGAAAACTGAATTGTCCTTCCGTATCGAAACATACATTCAGACCGTGACAAATGCGCTAGTGTGCTAATTTATTTTCGATTTTGAGTATCATACTATTAGAAAAAAATATTTAGTTTCTTTCGAATCGTAACAAATATTTAGGCATGCTGTTACTTTGACTTTGTCAAGAAAGATGATTAATATAGAAATGATTTTCATTTTCCTATTATAATCAAAGAAAATCAACATTAATATTTGTACTTGTGAATTTAAGGATAAAACACGAATTCGTAATCTTTACCGGAGTTTTGTGATCTCGTCGACAACTGTAGGTATGTACAGTTCCTTTTTAAAACTAAAATGATTGTGTTTCGAACAAACAATAGATTAATTTCTGTCTGTCTCGGAGTCCATCAGATGGTTTTTAAAATTATTGACTACCTCGTGTTATATGTTCTATTTTTTTTTCAAAATGTCTAAACTAATCCAAAATAAATGACTATCGTGACTGTAGCGATAGCTAGATAGATGTACTGAAATTGATCATGTTTTGATTCTGTTATTGGCTTCGTCAAAATTTAAAGGTTTTGAAAAACTTATCAGCATCATCGCTATGCGACTATAATATGAAATATGGTGAAACCACTATGATTGTAAACAAGGTTCTTCTCTATTTTGGTTATCTTTTTGCAACGAGTTTAAGTAGAGTAGTTCCGAGAATTTGTTTTTAGAGTGCCCTAGATCGATCCGAATCTTTTATGATTGACAGAAGACTCCGCTGCAAGTTTATCACTTATTGAACGTCTTTTCTGTCTTCATCCTGATAGTCTTAGCGATATTTTTATCTATGAGATCAATTCAAAATGGTCTTAAACAAACACATGACTTTTTTCTTGTTATTACTGACCTTCTAGTGTCTAATTGTTCTGCATACTATCACTGCTAAATGAAAAAATATTTAATCCACAGAAATACCTTTCCATTGTGAACAGCTCTCGAATGTGAACATCTCGTGATGGTGAAATTTTTTAATTCCCATCGAGTGGGTTTTGCTTGAAGTTGATCATCTCTTCTTAGTGAACAACTTTGGTACTGAATGATAAAACATGGTCATTTGCACACATAAGAATAAAACCGATCGCTATTTCGAGAATAAAGTGTCAAAATACACATTGCTGAATTGGATATTCTTTGTGAAGCAAATTCAAAGGCATAGTTCTAAGAATAAAAAGGATAGGATAAAAGAATTAGATTCTGTTAACTTACAAATAGACATAAGAAAAACATTTCCATCAAAGAATGCCCAGATTTTCGAATAGTGAACACTACGATATACTGTGCACTTTTAAAAATTCCCTTTGCTGTTCTCATCAAAAAGTTATTACTATTGTCATTCTGAATTGATTCAAATGACTTGCTGCATTATCAATAAAGATTATCACATAATTCTATTTTTCGATTATCATGATATTATCATGATAAAAAATTGAGAAGGGGCTACTGGCAGATCAGGGTCAAGGAAAAAGATAACCAAAAAAGGCAGGCTAGAAAAGGTTTAGGTCTGTTACAAGCATGTCATGTCCGCAAAGGTCGATCTTTTTCGATTTCTACTAACTACCAAAATTAAATAACTCGTACCGAACATCACACTAGAAGACTACTTCTATTTTCCACCGACGATGAATGCGATCACCTGAGTAGTACTATACATTTGTTCTCTCTTTTTGAGTGCTTCATTCAACGATGGAAATCTGTTTCTTTCATAGGCTACGACAGAACAACGGATCCCTATTCGAGTATCAATAGGATCATTTATTATCCCGATGGAAGTCGATATGAGGGAGCTGCAAAAAATAGCAAGCGTCACGGCAGGGGCACTTTGAATCTGGCGAATGGTGATAACTATGTCGGCTCTTGGGCCAATGACGAAATGAATGGACAAGGTGTGTTTACATGGTCAGAAGGTAATCGTTACGAAGGGAATTGGAAAGATGGTAAAGAATATGGCGATGGTATCTTGTATTTTGCCAATGGCAGAAAATACGAGGGTAACTGGATCAATGGCTTGATGAATGGGCATGGGATATTAACATTGCCGAATCGCGATCGATACGATGGGGATTGGAAAAATGGCAAAAGACATGGACATGGTACCTTGGATTTTGCTGATGGCAGAAAATATGAGGGTAACTGGATCAATGGCTTGATGAATGGGCATGGGATATTTACCTGGCCGAATCACGATCGATACGATGGGGATTGGAAAAATGACAAAAGACATGGGCATGGTACCTTGGATCTTGCTGATGGCAGAAAATATGTAGGCACCTGGATGAACGGCATGATTAATAGACGTGGGGTATTTACCTGGCCGAATCACGATCGATACAATGGGGATTGGAAAGATCGCAGAATGCATGGGTTTGGTTTTATGAACTTTGCTGATGGCAGAACATACATTGGCAGCTGGGCCAATGGCATGATGACTGGACATGGGATATTAACATGGCCAAATAACGATCGATATGAAGGGGATTGGAAAAACAATGAAAAAGATGGACATGGTAGCATGAATTTTACGGATGGCAGAAAATATGTGGGCAGTTGGGTCAACGGTATGACAAATGGTCATGGGATATTAACATGGCCAAATAACGATCGATATGAAGGAGATTGGAAAGACAACAAAAGATATGGCCATGGTAGCATGAATTTTGCCGATGGCAGAAAATATGTGGGCAGTTGGATCAACGACACGATGAATGGAAATGGGGTATTAACATGGCCAAATCATGATCGATACGAAGGGGATTGGAAAGATGGTAAAAGGCATGGACATGGCAGCATGAACTTCGCCAATGGCACAAATTACGTGGGCAACTGGATCAATAACATCATGAGTGACGATCGAGTATTCCCACCACTAGATGATGATCGACCCAAGAAAACTATTACAGAGGGCATTTTTCACCATCAAGGTACCACCAATTCTACTCATGATGAAAAAGAGGATGGCAAATCGATTGACAATGAAGAAGATTCGGAAGAGATTGGTGGAGGGTTGGCGTGGCGCCTCTTAAAGAAAATAATCAATTAGACAATCCTAGATGTATCGCTACTATTGAAGATAATCATCTGAAAAACTTATCACAGATGAAATTCTTTTTGTAACTTTAATTTTTAATGTAATGCTATCCTCACTTATAATTAGCCCAAGTGGTCGTCATACATGAAACGAATGCTTTCAGTAAAATTCCTCGAGTATTTGTATATAAAACAGGATGCAGTTGCTTTAATCGTAAGCGAAAGTTGTCGTCGCATGTGTCAAGGTCATTCATGCGGTTGTAGGAGCAATATTATAGTATCGGAGAATATTTCTGACGACTAAGTCATTTTTCCGGTATGTTCCTAATAATGTCTGATGCCATTGTAGTGATATTTCGATATCTCTTTCAGAATGAGATATCGGCGGGTGAATTATTATTCGATTACTGCAGCTATGGTCAATTTGTCCTGAAAGAAAGAATGAAGAATATTAATCAATGCTACTCTATCGTACAGGAATAAAATTCAACGAAGATTTCTATTGAGTAACTCTTCTTTTGAAGCCACTATGATCGGTTTCACTCTTACTTAACAGCGAATGCGCAAAAATCAAGGCATATCTCCGTAGAAGCATGCATATTCAAAAACACTCACATATTGATGGTGGATATTTTTCTGCTGATGATGAAATACGAATAAGTCATGATGAAACTAGACTAATGCACAATTTACGAGTGAATGATCAAATATAGGTCTTATGTATCGGTAAGAACCTATGTTTTACGCATGTGATTCGAACTTCTCATGCCAATCCCAACATTTATTGTGAGTAGTAAGTCGCTACTTTATATCTTCGTTTCACATCGATACCATATTCATTTTTTTAGTTCTTTACTATACTGTAGAGACTGAAAGTGGCAATAAATTCATCTGTCGAATAATCATTACATTCGTGTTCATCAATATGTTTACTCATCAGATGATGAACTCACAGTTTGATCATTCTCTTTATATAGTTGATCTCAACGATAATATTTTTCTTTTTTTTTTATTATTAAAATGTGATATGAGATGAAATTTGGTGTTGATCAATCAGTGACACTAGCAGGAACATTACTTCTTAACTAAATTGTTGCATCATGATAACAATTTTAAATTGACACATGAACAACTTCATCATATTTTAGCTCTACTTCGCTTCTGGTATTATACATCAAGACTATTTGACAATTTTATTCATCAATCAACAGCACATCAAATTTTTGTCCTATATTATTGAGTGCGAGAGTTATCAAAATAAGAAAATGATTTACAAATAATTATGAGAGCAGAACGTAAAACTCAATTATTCGAACAGTTTTACAGAGTTTTAAAGTTGAAAAGTCCAGAAAACGGAATTGACTAACAATAACTTGCATTGTTTTCGAAGATAGAAATGACACTTTTATCTTCGTTACCATCATACTGATATCAAGGGATAGACAACATTTTGCGAATACAGTCAAGAACATAATTGTATTTGTCTTCTTTCATAAACTGTGACAAGTAACGAGAAATTCTTCAGCTACGCATTTGTATGTTGACATATAAGAAGTAAACCAAATAAAACAAAACAGTTACAACATCCAAAAGAAGAAAGTTTGACAAGGTCTAAGTATGCTAAACTAATGAAAGATATGCCAACTGACGAAGTACTTTGTACAATTGTAACTGATGTAGGCAGCCGAAGATTTACATTTCATATCCACATCGTCAATTTGTATTTCTCACATCTTTTATTTTATAGATCCTTAATGGTATTAAAGTACAGTAATGCAATGTGAAATATCATTCAATGGTATTATGACATGAAGTAATATTGAAATTAATCGAATTTCTTTGTAAAATGATATTTCTCAGAGTCTATAAAAAAATCTATTGATTTCCCTTAGATGGAAATATTTGAAAATGAATTGCTATAATAATTTCTCTAGAACGACTTTCAACTATTTGTAGAAATATATTGATCGGTTCAGGTGTTGTTTTTGTTGCATGTTATTTTTAAAATAATGCCGTCATTTATTGTTCTTTCATCAAAACATAACAATCGATAGTATTTTTTTTCTTTCTTATCTTTTCCTGCGGGTAAGTAAATGAATAAAACAATACAACGTCCAGATTCAATTGTCTATTGATCTTTCATTGTATAATGTTTGCCTTATCGAATGTCATCGTTTTTCTATAAAATTTGGATGGAATTACGTTGCTTGTAGAAAAAAAAAAAGAATACTGATCGATAAAAATCTATTGTAACGATTTTTTCAAATATTATTCGTTATAGGAAAGAAAAGAAAAAGCCTTGAAAAATTAACTATGTTTTAATGTTTTCTTTGGCATTTTATTTCTTGTGTATATTAACAATAAAATGTTAGATTTCTTCGGTAGGTTCGTTTAAATTTGAGTAATCTCTACAACGTTTATATAGAAATAAATTTGAATATTGACTTTCTACTAATGATTCCTAATAGATTTTATTTTGAAATTCTATTTAATACGTGTAACGTGATTTGCAAGCAAAAATACAATAATACATTTTGCCCTTTAATAAAAAGTAACGCAATCATTTTGACATTACTTTTTTTTTTAATCGATAAATGTCGAAGAACAAGAAAAATCGCATATCTATGGATTTAACTCCAAAAGGTTCGTTTTTGTTTAACTTATAAATGTTTATTTTTATAGAATATTTTAGAAATTGCTGTACTCATAAAAGCTTCACGAATTACCGAGGAAGGTAATGTTGTTTATTAATTTGAATTCATTATATTTGTAATTTATATTAAATAACTAAAGAAATTCAACATTGGCATGCGGTATATATTTAATTGAAATGTATTTATCAGTATGTTTGTTATTTTATTTATTTTTTTTGTTTTAGGATTTTCTTCACAATTGCCCATCAGGTCAATTAGATAAGGAAGCATTTGTTGCCTATTACAACAAATTGTTTTCACGAAAAGAAACAAACAAAGCAATCGAGTATATCAACATATCTTTCTCATTTGATCAAATTTTATTTTATGATGATATTTAGAAATATTTTTGATATGATCGACGTAAACCATGATGGTACAGTTGATTTTAATGAATTTTTGATTGTTATAACTTTGATCGATCATTTAAATGATTTGGGATCACGTCTTTCATTTGTATTTGATATGTAGATATGAAATTTTTTTTTTATAATATGTGTCCTTAGTGTATTTTATTATCTAGATGGGATGATTCTGAAGATGGGCATATTGATCAAAAAGAAATGGAAAATATGATAACAGCCATTGTAAGACTCTATTATTTTGTCTTATTTTATTTTTGTTTAATATTTAGTATGATCGGGCTGGTATCACAAATCGAAAAGGTGATCAACATCCGAAAAAACGTGCGAAAGAGATTATTACTAAACTTGATATTAGTGGTGATAAAAAATTAAGTAAAGAAGAATTTATTACTGGGTATATTTTTTTAATAGAAATCTGTTTGTATATTAACATTATTTGTTATTTTTTTTAGATGTAAATATGATCCAATTATTCGTAATTTATTTGCTCCAAATACATAAATATTTGTCAAAATAATAATGTCTTTATTATTATTAGTGACTTCAAATAAAATTATACAATTTTTTATCATGTAGTTTGCAGTATTTCATCGAAATTAATCAAAACTATGTAAAGAAAACTTTAAATATAACAAGATATAATATGTAACTATATTTTTGTGAGAAGATTCATTTCTCTTTTGATTTTTGGTGGTTTACGAATACTCAAAAATATTACGATATACGTATATCGTAAAACATTACTTAATCGAGTTTATATATTCTTGCTTGAATAGCAATGGATGCTTTTATTAAACAAGACATGTTATTAAAACAAACTCAAATATTATTCATTGGTAAATAAATAAAAATAAGAAATTAGGGAAAGAACAACAGGAACTTGGTGAAGAAATGTTAATTCGTTATTTTCAATAAATATTTTGGTATATATGAAAAAATAGTTCTGTTATTTATGAAAAGCGTAGTGCCGAAGGATACAAAAATTGAGCAAGTTCGTACATAACTTTTGGTACGACATGCATACCTTCCATGTCTTGATGGCCAAAAGGTTCATTAATAAATAATAATTGAGCTAACCAATGATAAAAACGTAATAGACTCATGGCAACATGTGCTACTTTGTGACTATGAACATTAGCATAACAACTAGTCAAGATACCATTGGCAAATAATGTACCTATAAAAGAATAAGAAATAGAATAAAATCAACAAATTCAAATCAATTCCTACCACTTGTGGTCAATGGTGCATAATATCCAGTTTTCATTTCTCGGATTACATTTGTAACTATTGATGAAACAAGTTTATCATTAGACATAACATAAACAACATCATAAATCTTAATCTGTTTAGCAGGAACATAATTTATTGTGTTATCATTTTTAATGATAGCAATTAAGTGGAGTTCAGTGAGGCTAACGTTGTGTCCAGATGCAGTTGTAATAGTATGAAACATAGCTAAAATAAAATAAAGTGTTATTTATTTACCTTCAAGGTTAATATTACCTTGTGAGAATTTGCTTTTGTCAAGCATGATCATCATCTGCGTTGGAAAAATGATAGATCCATCAGTTGTTAATAATTCATCAGCGGATCGAAGTTGTTCAATTGGAATTTGTTTTTGATTGGACAAAGTGATAAATGTATCGCTCGAAAAACAACTTGATGATGAGCTCGACGCCGTTGCTGCTGATGATTTAGGTGAAACACCATCTAGGATAGTTTAATTTGTAAGAACAGAATAGAGGAGTTCTCTATTTATTAAATTCTACTGTGTCAGTTTAGTTTTGGTTGAAGGCTTGAAAACGATATTCTCAATTGTTTTTCAAACACAATTTTAGTTGATAGTATAACAATATTATTATATACAACAATTTTACGTATAAGACTTACTGTTCGATCTATCGCTTGAGCTCTCACTACCAGGATTGTTGACAACCAATTTAACAGGAGATGGAGGTGCTCCCGTAACAAAAATAAGTTTAAATAATATGAGTATAATAGGCAAGCCGAGTCTATTCATGTGAAGCATTTATTTTCTCAGTGCAACAGAACTAATAATACATGTCTTCTGACTTGAACACAGTCTTTTATATAAAGAAGTACAACTGTAAGGTGAAAAAAAACTTCAAAATATCTCGGAAAAAGCCAACTGAAGTACGAAAAATTATTTTCCAATTACTCATTTTTTTGTTGATTTTATTACGAAGAAATATAAATAATGATTTTTTTTCTTCTTTTCTCTAATGCATTCATATTACCTGATGTTGCTAAAATTCAATAGACATTCCATTAGACATGTTCTTAAATTTTTCATTCGTTTTCTGAATAATATTTCTATTATATACTCTATTCAAAGTGTTGTTGATTGAATTTCTTCCATTAGGCATCCTACTTAAGAGAGTTGGTATTTCTTGCAACTGTTTTCGTGATTCTTGTCAATTGTTTGTTTATGACATCATAGAGTGAAAAAAATTTCCAACTATATTCGGTGAATAAATGTATGAGAAAAAGTTTGTCAATAGTTACGTACTGGTTACTTTTTGTCTACGCTTATAACAACACACTATTCTACTTCCGAATAGTGAGAATATTTATTAAAGAAATTTTTTTTCGAATTCAGACTTTCAGTTGGTGTAAACATAAATATCTTTTCGTTGGACGATAAATATTCATTAGAATAATTTGTTAAAAAATGGGTAATACATGCTACCAAACTGCATATGGTACTAATGCTAATAGTTCATGCACTTCTTCGACGGATACTGTAAATCTCAGTACTGGTGCCATTATTGGTATTTCCATTGGCTGTTTAGTGGCTATTCTCCTCATTATTCTTATCATTCTCCTCATTATTTATTGTGTGAAAAAGAACAATGTAAGGGTGGCAGATTCTCAGTCGCATCCCTACGCAATGAACAATGAGCCAAAACAGTCATATCAGCATCAAGAATATATGCCAACATATCCGCCTTCATACGTCGAAGCAACTGCAGTGAAAAATTAAAATAAACAGAATTAAATGTATGTTGAATATAAATAATTGGAAAAGAGAAAATAAAATTTTTCGTGTTCATGTAAGAATGATGTCAAAAGAAATGCAATCAAAAATTAATCATTATGTGATATATTGATATAAGAGAAAAGACGGTCAGTAACTGATGGCATCAGCTGATGTTCTTTAATTTTTTCTTGAAAAATTACATATACATGATATTGTTTTGAAAATACTTCTATTGTAGATAGGATTCTACACTAAGTACGTCCATTGCTTCTTTGATTTTAGTTCTTGGTCTCTTGTATGTTTATGTTACTTTCTCTTGCCGGTTTTAGTTCTTATCGATTTATATTAATTAGTTATTTTTCCTTGTGCATCACTATTATCCATTTCCAAAAAAAAAGGCGGTTGGGCATTTTTTTAATAACTTTTGATAGGAACTAGATAGAGAGGTGCGGTTTTCATCATTACAAAGATAAGACCGGGACACATAATATGTGCTAAAATACTATTCGTTGATAATGGACCAATCAAATACATTCTCAGTGGACATTTTGAACCCGTTATTCTGGAGTCATTTCGCAACTTTACTGGATTATGAATTTACTTGTTTTATAGGCAAAATTGTTCTCTATCGATCTACGTAAGGCCGACTTTTCTAGCTAGCTCCGTTGAAGAGTTATAAGGTTTTTCTTGAGACCCCTGATTTTAGCAAATTGATCTTGGATCACCCGGAAAGCCATCTAGGATTGGATAATTCCTCATGCTGAGTCGAATAGTGACGTTTGTTTTCGGATTCGAAATGATTTGATAGTGTTATTTAAGAATTTTCAAAAATTCACAAGATCTACCGCTATATAACAAATGAGTCGACATTTCGGAAATATTCATATAACAGTGTCAGATCATTTCGAATCCGAAAACAAACGTCACCATTCGACTCAGCATGAGAAATTATCCAATCCTAGATGGCTTTCCGAGTGATCCAAGATCAATTTGCTAAAATTAGGGGT